TGGATGGCGACAGGCGCCGCCACCACCGCCGCCACCGCCGCCACCGCCGCCACCACCACCATCTAGCACTGCACCTTCTAACTTTAAGTCCCAAAAATTGTTAGAGGACAGATTTCTTGGATGGTGACAGGCGCCGCCACGGCTGCCACCCCCGCCACCGCCACCACAGCCGCCACCACCGTCACCACCGTCTAGCACTGCACCTTCTAACTTTAAGTCCTAAAAATTGTTAGAGGACAGATTTCTTGGAAGGCGCCGCCTGCCGCCACCGCCGCCACCACCGCCGCCACTGCCGCCACTTTCTATTTTTAAAATAATTATCTAATTGAAGACAAAACACACTGGTCTAGTGGTAGACCAGTATGGACTTTTAGGACTCAACCTCTCAGTTTAAGCTTCTCAACTTGGGTTTTAATAACCAGCTTCTTTGTAAGAGTCCACTATGTTTTAGTTATTAATCTCTATATCATTCTGTGGATTATCTTCAGGCCTGTTCTACATGCTAATATTATGTGCGGAATATAATTCAGATTGCCTTTCTTCTCTACAGGATATATTGAGGTTTACATTTCTTGAATGACTCATCGAGAGCGTTTGTTTTTTTTGTTGCAAAAAGCTTCCTGCTTGTGTTGCCAGTGAAGGCAGCTCCACAGCAGGGCCGGACTGGGAATTAAAAGCAGCTGGAAAAAAAATATTTACCAGCCCCATAATGCGTCACGCCAGCATAGTGTGCAGATACAGAGTTAGAACAGATAAATTAAAATTAAAAAGTACTTCAACGTAAAAAGCGCACTCATAGGCTTCAAAATAAACAAAAGTGCAGATTTATTTTAAGTAGACGTGCCTTTGCATGTAATCAATGTTTCAGTCCAACTACCTTGACATATTAAGGAAAGCTTGTTAATGGGACTGAAATGGTGAATGTATGTAGGGCACAACTGTAAAAAAAAATTATTTTGAAGTCCTGTGGGTGTACTCTTGACTTTAAATATGTTATTGTGCTGGAGTATGCACTTAGCAACAAGACTGGGCCAATATCTGCTCATTACATATTAATGACATTTCTCTGTTTATTATGCATATATAAATGTACATTAATATGTGTAAATATAATAGGCATAATTTTATATATATATATATAACTAATACACACGTTGATATACATGTCATATACCAGTGGCGGATCCAGAGCCTGATCCCATCCCAGGAGGGGCACTTGTAGATTATTTAAAGAAATATTCCATGCACAATAACCACTACTCCTCTGTGTAGTGGTTATGGTGCCAGGAGCGTCGGCACCCCTCCCAGAGTAAGTAGTCAAACCGTTTAAGAACAGTTTGACAACTTACCTGGAGTCTGCTGGGATATGGGGCTGTAGTAGGGTATAGGAGCAGTGGTGCAATGTGTGAGGGGTACAATGTGTGTGAAAGGTTCAGTGTGTGGGTGTGGGGGGCAGTGTGTGAATGTGTATGGTGTGTGTGTGTGGGGGCAGTGTGTGAATGTGTATGGTGTGTGTGTGTGTGGGGGCAGTGTGTGTGTGGGCAGTGTGTGTATGGGGCTAGAGTTTACTCCTACTACTGCGACCACCAGGAAGTGGTGAGAGTGAACTCTAGCCCGTAGCTCCAGGGCTAGAGTTCACCCTCGTGAGAGCCAGAGCATTGCCCCAGGTCCTCTCTTCCTCCCCTGCCGACTGGCTGCACGGTGCCTGTGGAACGGGGAGGGAGATCGGCCGGCAGGGGAAAGCCTTGGGGGCTTTGTGATATATACTGCCCCTATATGTGTCTCTTTATCTCCAGCCCCTCTGTGTGCCTTTTTGTCTCCCCCAGTCACTCTGTATGTTTCTTTCTCCCCCTCACTGCTCCTCTGTGTCAATGTCTCCCCTCTCCTTCCCAGTCTCTCTCTTCCCTCTCTGCCTCTTTCTTCCCCTCCCCTTGTGTGTCTCTCTCTCATTTCTCCCTCTTTGTCTCTCTCTTCCCCCTCTGCCTCTTTCACCCCCTTTCCCTGTGTCTCTCTCACTCTCTCTCCCTCCCCCCTTTCCCTGTGTCTCTCCCCATCTCTCTCCCTCGCCCTTTCCCTGTGTCTCTCCTCTCCCCTCATTTCCCCCTTTCCCTGTGTCTCTCCCCATCTCTCTCCCTCCCCCCTTTCCCTGTGTCTCTCCCCTCCTCCCCATCTCTCTCCCTCCACTCTCTCACTGTGTCTTTCCCTCCTCCCCATCTCTCTCCGTCCCCCTTTCCCTGTGTCTCTCCCCTCCTCTCTCCTTTCCCCCTTTCCCTGTGTCTCTCCCCTCCTCCCCATCTCTCTCCCTCCCCCTTTTCCCTGTGTCTCTCCCTCCTCCCTCCCTCTATTCCCCTCTCTGTTTCATTTCCCCCCCCACATATTTACCTAGAGAAGTCAGGGTGGCTGGACTGGTGGCACTCAGAGGGGCCGGCCACGTACCAGGCTGGAGCCACCGGGCCGGGTGGCAGCTTCGCCAGCTCGCGGTTCCCACAATTCCCAGAAACTGCGAGGGAGCATGGTACAGAGACATACTCCTCCTCCTTCAGCCATCAGCCACAGCAGCCAGTGACAAGAGCAGGGCCGGACCAGGGAAGCTGCCACCTGGCACGGCGGCTCCAGCCTGGAACATGGCCGGCCCCCACTGAGTTTCACCGGACCGGCCACCCGGTGGCACCTATGTGGCAGCGCAGCCCCAGGTGCCGTGGGCCAGTCCGGCCCTGCTCCACAGGACTACATGCCGCGCCTCCCTCCCACACACAATTTTCATAGAATCTTTTTATGCAAAGACATATTTCTCTAATGTGTATATCTCAATGTAAATCTCCCTCTTTCTTGGTGACTTGGTGCTGTTGAGAGTCTGAACAACACAAGACGTTGTGTTAAAAATACACAATTACTTGGATTTTATATGTCAGCTATTGACTTTGTATGTGGCGTTATATTCTGTATAATAGAAAGTCAGAGAGCCGAACTGTCTCCTCTCTTGGCTCTGCCACCACTTAGGGCACCCCTTCTTGTCTAGAGCAGGAATGGCCCTGACTCCAGTGGGCCTGTGAGGGGTCGACGTTTAGACTTATATTACCATCCAAACTGCACATTACTTTATAGGAACTGTTCCAGTTATCAAATATGAGTGCTGACCGAGGTACAACACATTTCTAGAGACCACCAATATTCTATTACAAATTTTCCCTTCTAAACTAAGACAGTTTGAAATCCAACCTTAAAATTTGGAGCGTCAAATATCATAGTTTTTTTCAGTGTATTTATATTGTACAAAAAACAACTTCACAAATTATCAGCTTATACAAAGTTTATTTTCTCAAAGTAGCATACTCAAAGTAAGAAATATTGCGAGATAATTCTCGGTTGTACATGTTATATTCATATTTCTTCTCCACTGTTCAGTTCATAGTATTTGGTTAATGGTTCCCTAATGACTATGTGTAAGAATGCCACAAACATCTCTGTATCTAAGAGTTAGACGTGATGTTGCTCTCTCAGATTCCATCTTCTCATTAAAGAGTAAAGTAGATCAACCCGCAGCAATATCTCTTGAATTTTAGTTGTAGCGATAGCACGAGCACACGCTGTATCACCCTGCAGAGAAGAATAGAGAAATTATTATACAAATGGTAAAAGTAGAGAAGGTAGAATTTGGGGAAGGCAAATGGGGAGACAATGCTATGTCTGACACTATCCTCTGATATATGATTGTTTTGACTCGTTATGTCACTTGCTGAGAATAAACGCGCGTGGGAAACTTATCCTGAACTAGAAGATGCTGGAATTAGGGGTGGAGACGGATTTGGCCAGAAAGTATCTGCAAACTAATTAATACCTGATTTTGGACAATCTCATTGAGGTTACTGAAATATTGTGTTATTTCTTCAAGGATAGGAGGATTTTCTTCAGTCTTTGTAAACTGAAAACATGAAAGAATTTGTTATTGATACCTTCATTATTAAGCAAAGACAGATTCTGTTACTTAATGACTTAATGAATGACTTAATAGCATAGTTTATAAAATACCAGCATATTCGGCAGTGCTGTTCAACTTACACACATGGCCAATGCATTTATATGGTAACAAAGAATTTGTTGGAACTCATCCCAGGCTGCAAGCTTATAACCGATTGTCTTCTGTTGTAACCATGGGGAGTTTCTTATTTCAATCAGAACCTTTCTCACAATGGCTGCAGCTAACCCCTGGAATAACAAAGACAGACTTTAACAAGTGCATTAAGGTGAATACATTCAGTATTAATCAAATTAAAGCATTCATTGTCTCCTTTCAATGGTTGTGTAGAGACAGGTCACTACAGCAGGGTCTCAATATGGTTCTTCATGATTAATAATGGACTACCTGAGATTCCTTTGATGTTACTAAGATGTTGAAGATATTGGGAAGGTTTGGTAGCTCGAGGTCAAATGGACAAACTTCAAAAATATCTTCATCAGATCTCTAGAAATAAAAACAGATTAGTTAGTGAACGTGAAAAAAATAAATCAAAATTTCTAAATTCAAGAAGTGAAAAGAGAGTGTTATCCCGAACACACACCATGGGAATGAAGCTCTGGAGCAGATTTCCTATCTTAGTCTCCTGTGTCGGACTGAGCTGTTTGCAGTTTGGCAAAAATATACCCGAAGAAAAGTTCAGCAAAATTAGAAACAAAAATTTCATTTTTAGACACATTTTCGAAGGATCTTATTATTCGGCAGGAGGTCTGTTCTAAGTTGGGGTCCATCGTCGCAAGTATATATAACCAGGGTTTAACTTTGGATTTGTTCTGTGTGGAATATCTACACAATTACTTTATATACTTTTATTCTGTGAAGAGTATATTCAACTTTGTTCAAGATATTGTTTTTGCTCGCAGAATATATTGTTGTCTGTACTGTTATTATGTGACTGCTATGCTTGCTTGCTTTCAGGTAGTACGAGGCGAGGCTTAGTGGGAAGTCCCTGCCAGTATCAATTCTCACACTAGACTGAAAGCTCAGACATTAAACATTCACCAGCAGAGACGTGAGAGAGAACACAGTGAACACAGATTGTGACCAGGGGAAGATCCAATGTAAAGGACACCAGGAAAAGACTACAAACAGGACATTTTTATCATATGATGGGGCTCTGATCACAGCTTTTAGTGGGTATCCTATTATAAAGCCCTGGCTAAGTGCGAGGATTATTATACAGCCATGGATGAGTGAAGCTGTAGTTACAGAGCTGCTGTGCAAATCGTCTCTGAATGTTTTCGACAGTGAGACAGTGCTGTACAGTCCTTATTGCTGGAGACATTGACCACACAGGAGACACTGCTGATTATGAACTGCAGGGCGAGTTGGAACCCACTTCCAAAAGGTTTCAGCTGATGGTTGTTTCGAGGGAGATGCAGCGATCACTGTGTTAATGTGCCAAACGCAGGCTCTGGTTACATATTATGCAAGAAACACAACTCTAAATTCAAGTTATATTTTAATGAGGTGAAACTGAAGATCCATTTAGATTGTTCGTTCCCATAGAAATAGGATCCTAAACTCCTTTTATATTTGTTTGTCAAATTTTATTTTGTCTGTTAGATGTATTGTACCTTTGTCTTTTTACTTGTACCAATTGTAACCATGAGCAGCATGGCAGAATGTGTTGGTGCATTACAATAAAAGTATGATAATAGCTCATCTTGGACAAAAGTAATGTCTGAAGCTAAATCTTTCTGGAACATTTGCCTTTGGACTCAGACTGTGAGTGTGTCTCTCCCAGGGAATTATGTGTCTGTCGCTGTCGGCTAGAGCTATGTGTGATCATGAAGCTGCTGAGTGTAGAGTAACATTGTTCTGAGTCTCTAGCTGTCTGCTAGAGTGAGTTGTGTTTTACAACCCTGGATAAGTGAAGCTTCCATTCACCTTGTCTATTTGGCACTCAGCCTCCATCTAGCAGCAGCACATTACAGAACACCATACATTGTATTAAACATTTTCCCATCTATTCTAAGACAGCGCGTCACCACGCAATACACAAGCCCTGCATGCATCACCAGGCAAAACATGCGCCCAGCGCGTGTCACCAGGCAACACATGAGCCCCTCGCGCGTCACAAGGCAACATATGAGCCCTGCGTGCATCACCAGGCAACGCATGAGCCACAAGCGTCACCAGGCAACACATGAGCCCCGCGCACGTCACCAGGCAACATATGTGCCCCACACAAGTCACCAGGCAACACATGAGCCCCGCGTGCGTCACCACGCAACACATGAGCCCCGCGCACGTCACCTGGCAACACATGAGCCCCGTGTGCGTCACCAGGCAAAGCATGAGCCGCGCGCGTCACAAAGCAACAAATGAGCCTCACGCTCATCACCAGGCAACACATGAGCCCGCGCGTGACACCAGGCAACACATGAACCCAGTGCGCGTCACCAGGAAACACATGAGCCCCGCGCGTGTCACCGGGCAACACATGAGCTGCGCGCATCACCAGGCAAGACATTAGCCCAGGGCCCATCACCAGGCAACACATGAGCCCCACGCGTGTCACCAAGCAACGAATGAGCCCTGCGCGCGTCACCTCGCAACACACAAGCGCAGCGCCCATCATAAGTCAACACATGAGCCGCGCGTGTCATCAGGCAACACATTAGCCCAGTGCCCGCAACAAGGCAACACATGAGCCCATGGGGCGCGTCACCAGGCAACACATTAAGCCCCGCGCACGTCACCATGCAACAAATGAGCCCCGTGCGCATCCCCTTTGCAACACATGAGCCCCGTGCACATCACCTCGCAACACATGAGCCCCGTGCGCATCACCAGACAACACATTAAGACCTGCGCACGTCACCACGCAACACATGAGCCCCGCGCCCATCACCACGCAACACATGAGCCCCGCTCACGTCACCTGGCAACACATGAGCCACGCGCGTCACCAGGCAAGACATTAGCCCAGTGCCCGTCACCAGGCAACACATGAGCCCATGGGGCGCGTCACCAGGCAGAACATGAGCCACGCGCGTCACCAGGCAACACATGAGCCCCGCGCGCGACACCAGGCAACGCATGAGCCCCGAGTGTGACACCAGGCAATGCATGAGCCCCGCGGCCGTCACCAGGCAACACATGAGCCCCGCGCGCGTCACCAGACAACAAATGAGCCCCGTTTGCGTCACCTCGCAACACATGAGCCCCGCGCCCTTCACAAGGCAACACATGGGCCTCGTGCACGACCAGGCAACACATGAGCCCTGCGTGTGTCACCACACAGCACATGAGCCCTGCGCGCGTCACCAGGCAACACATGAGCCCCGCGCCCGTCACTAGGCAACTCATGAGTCCAGCGCGGGTCACCAGGCCACACATGAGGCCTCCGCGCATTGCCAGGCAAAAAATGAGGCCCGCGCACATCATCAGGCAAAAAATGATCCCCGCGCGCGTCGCCAGGCAAAACATGAGCCGCGAGTGGCACCAGGCAACACATTAGCCCAGCGGCCGTCACCAGGCAAAATATGAGCCGCGCGCGTCACCTCGCAACACATGAGCCCCGCGCATCACCAGGCAACACATGGGCCTCGTGTGCGACACCAGGCAACACATGAGCCCCGCGCGTGTCACCACACAGCACGAGCCCCACTTGCCTCACCAGGCAACACATGAGCCCCGCGCGCGACACCAGGCAACGCATGAGCCCCGCGAGCGACACCAGGCAACGCATGAGCCCCGCGCACGACACCGGGCAACGCATGAGCCCCGCGCCCGTCACTAGGCAGCTCATGAGCCCAGCGCGCATCACCAGGCCACACATGAGGCCTGCGCGCATCACCAGGCAAAAAATGAGCCCCACGCGCGTCACCAGGCAAAACATGAGCCCCGCGTGCGTCACCAGGCAAAACATGAGCCGCGAGTGTCACCAGGCAAAACATAAGCCGCGGGTGTCACAAGGCAACAAATGAGCCCCGCCACACGTCACCAGGCCCCAGCTCGCAGGGGCTCATTTGTTGCCTGGTGATGCGCGCGGGGCTCATGTGTCGTCTGGTAATGCGCGAGGGGCTCATGTGTTGCCTGGTGATGTGCGCGGGGCTCATGTGTTGCCTGGTGACGGGCGCAGGGCTCATTTGTTGCCTTGTGACGCGCACGGGCTTATTTTTTGCCTGGTGATGCACGCAGGCCTCATGTGTGGCCTGGTGACACGCGCTGGGCAGGCAACAAATGAGCCCCGCGCGTCACTTTGCAACACATGAGCCCCGCTTGTAACCAGGCAACACTTGAGCCCCGTGCGAATCACCACGCAGCGCCTGAGCCCCGTGCGCGACACCAGGCAACGCATGAGCCCCGCGTCTGTCACCAGGCCACACAAGGCCCACGCGCATCATTAGGCAAAAAATTAGCCCCGCGCACGTTACCAGGCAAAACATGAGCGCCGCACGTGTCACCAGGCGAAACATGAGCCACGAGCATCACCAGGCAAAACATGCGCTGCGTTCGTCACAAGGTAACAAATGAGCCCCGCCGCACGTCACCAGGCACCAGCACGCGGTGGCTCATGTTTTGCCAGGTGACGTGCGCGGGGCTCATGTGTTGCATGGTGACTGAACCTCTATGTGATATTCATTAGTATGGTAGCATGATCCGTAGATCACACCCCAGTATATTGAAATCTGCACATAAGACGTCAAGTTAAAGAGAAATATTAAAGTTAAAGAGAAGTGAAAAGAGAGTGTTATCACTAACACACATCATGGGAATGAAGCTCCGGAGCAGATTTATACTGTTATTATGTCACTGCTATGCTTGCTTTCAGGAGAGGTGAGGTTTAGGGGAAGTCCCTGCCAGCATCAACTCTCACACTAGACTGAAAGCTCAGACATTAAACATTCACCAGCAGAGACGTGAGAGAGAACACAGTGAACACAGATTGTGACCAGGGGAAGATCCAATGTAAAGGACAGCAGGAAAAGACTACGAACAGGAAATTTTTATCATATGATGGTGCTGTGAGCACAGCTCTTAGTGGGTATCCTGTTATACAGCCCTGGCTAAGTGCGAGGATTATTATACAGCCATGGATGAGTGAAGCTGTAGTTACAGAGCTGCTGTTCAGATCGTCTCTGAATCTTCTCGACAGTGAGACAGTGCTGTACAGTCCTCATTGCTGGAGACATTGACCACACGGGAGACACTGCTTATTATGAACTGCAGGGCGAGTTGGAACCCACTTCCAAAAGGTTTCAGCTGATGGTTGTTTCGAGGGAGATGCAGCGATCACTGTGTTAATGTGCCAAACGCAGGCTCTGGTTACATATTATGCAAGAAACACAACTCTAAATTCAAGTTATATTTCAATGAGGTGAAACTGAAGATCCATCTAGATTGTTTGTTCCCATAGAAATAGGATCCTAAACTCCTTTTATATTTGTTTGTCAAATTTTATTTTGTCTGTTAGATGTATTGTACCTTTGTCTTTTTACTTGTACCAATTGTAACCATGAGCAGCACGGCAGAATGTGTTGGTGCATTACAATAAAAGTATGATAATAGCTCATCTTGGACAAAAGTAATGTCTGAAGCTAAATCTTTCTGGAACATTTGCCTTTGGACTCAGAGAGGCGAGGTTTCAGGAGAGGCGAGGTTAAGGGGAAGTCCCTGCCAGCATCAACTCTCACACTAGACTGAAAGCTCAGACATTAAACATTCACCAGCAGAGACGTGAGAGAGAACACAGTGAACACCGCCGTCTCTCCCACCGCCGTCTCTCCCACCGCCGTCTCTCCCAGGAAATGATGTGTCTGTCGGCTAGAGCTATGTGTGATCATGAAGCTGCTGAGTGTAGAGTGACATTGCTCTGAGTCTGTATCTGTCTGCTAGAGTGAGTTGTGTTTTACAGCCCTGGATAAGTGAAGCTGCCATTCACCTTGTCTATTTGGCACTCAGCCTCCATCCAGCAGCCCTTTACCAACAGTCAATTTGAAGCAGAGACAAAGAAAAGACACAACACATTACAGAACACCATACATTGTATTAAACATTTTCCCTTCTATTCTAAGACAGCGCGTCACCACGCAATACATGAGCCCCGCATGCGTCACCACGCAACAAATGAGCCCTGTGCGCATCACCAGGCAACACATGAGCCCCACGCGTGTCACCAGGCAAAAAATGAGCCCCGCGCGCATCACCAGGCAACACATGAGTCCCGCGCGCGCCAGCAGGCAACACATGAGCCGTGCGCGTCATCAGGCAACACATTAGCCCCGCGCACGTCACCACCCAAGGCAAGACATGTGGCCGGCGCACGTCACCGGGCAAGACATAAGCCCCGCGCGAGTCACCGCGCAACACACGAGCCCCGCGTGCGTCACCAGGCAACACACGAGCACCTCGCGCATCAACCAGGCGGAACATGAGCCCTGCACGCGTCACGAGGCAACACATGGGCCCCACGTGCGTCACCACGCAACACATTAGCCCCGTGCACGTCACCACACAAGGCAAGACATGTGGCCGGCGCACGTCACCGGGCAAGACATAAGCCCCGCGCGCATCACCGGGCAACACACGAGCCCCGCGTGCGTCACCAGGCAACACACGAGCACCTCGCGCATCAACCAGGCGGAACATGAGCCCCGCATGCGTCACGAGGCAACACATGAGCCCCGCGCGCGTCACCACGCAACACATTAGCCCCGTGCACGTCACCACACAAGGCAAGACATGAGCCCCGCGCGCGTCACCAGGCAGCACATGAGCCTCGAACGCATCAGAAGGCAACACATGAGCCCCGTGCGCGTCACCAGGCAACACATTAAACCTTGCGCGCGTCACCACGCAACACATGAGCCCCGCGCCATCACCACGCAACACATGAGCCCCACGCGCGTCACCAGGCAAAACATGAGCCGCGCGCGTCACCAGGCAACAAATGAGACTCGCGCACGTCACAAAGCAACACATGAGTCGAGCGCATCACCAGGCAACACATTAGCCCTGCGCACATCACCACACAAGGCAAAACACATGAGCCCAGTGTGCATCACCAGGAAACACATGAGCCCCGCACGCGTCACCGGGAAACACATGAGCCACGTGCGTCACCAGGCAAGACATTAGCCCAGGGCCTGTCACCAGGCAACACATGAGCCCCGCGCGCATCACCAGGCAACAACTGAGCCCCGCGCGCGTCACCAGGCAAAGAATGAGACGCGCGCGTCACAAAGCAACAAATGAGCCTCACGCGCATCACCAGGCAACACATGAGTCCCACGTGTGACACCAGGCAAGACATTAGCCCAGGGCCGGTCACCAGGCAACACATTAGCCCAGTGCCCGTTACCAGGCAACACATGAGCCCATGAGGCGCGTCACCAGGCAACACATGACCCCCCCGCGCACATCACCATGCAACAAATGAGCCCCGTGCGCATCACCTCGCAACACATGAGCCCAGTGCACATCATCACGCAACACATGAGCCCCGTGCGCGTCACCAGACAACACATTAAGCCCCGCGCACGTCACCATGCAACACATGAGCCCCGCGCCCATCACCACGCAACACATGAGCCCCGCGCGTGTCACCAGGCAACACATGAGCCCCGCGTGCGACACCAGGCAACGCATGAGCCCCGCGCGCGACACTAGGCAACGCATGAGCCCCGCGTGAGACACCAGGCAACGCATGAGCCCCGCGTGCGACACCAGGCAACGCATGAGCCCAGCGTGCGACACCAGGCAACGCATGAGCCCCGCGCCCGTCACCAGGCAACACATGAGCCCAGCGCATGTCACCAGGCCACACACGAGGCCTGCGTGCATCACCAGGCAAGACATTAACCCAGGGCCCGTCACCAGGCAACACATGAGCCCCGTGCGCGTCACTTTGCAACACATGAGCCCCGCATGCGTCACCACGCAACAAATGAGCACTGTGCGCATCACCAGGCAACACATGAGCCCCGCGCGTGTCACCATGCAAAAAATGAGCCCCGCGCGTATCACCAGGCAACACATGCCCCGCGCACGTCACCAGGCAACACATGAGCCCCGCGCAGGTCACCAGGCAACACACGAGCCCCGCGTGCGTCACCAGGCAACACACGAGCACCTCGCGCATCAACCAGGCGGAACATGAGCCCCACACGCGTCACGAGGCAACACATGAGGCCCACGCGCGTCACCACGCAACACATGAGTCGAGCGCATCACCAGGCAACACATTAGCCCTGCGCACGTCACCACACAAGGCAAAACATGAGCCCCGCGCGTGTCACCAGGCAACACATGAGCCCCGAACGCATCAGAAGGCAACACATGAGCCCCGCGCACGTCACCAGGCAACACATTAAGCCCTGCGCGCGTCACCACGCAACACATGAGCCCCGCGTCGTCACCATGCAACACATGAGCCCCACGCGCGTCACCAGGCAAAACATGAGCCGCGCGCGTCACCAGGCAACAAATGAGACTCGCGCGCGTCACAAAGCAACACATGAGTCGAGCGCATCACCAGGCAACACATTAGCCCTGCGCACGTCACCACACAAGGCAAAACACATGAGCCCAGTGTGCATCACCAGGAAACACATGAGCCCCGCACGCGTCACCGGGAAACACATGAGCCACGTGCGTCACCAGGCAAGACATTAGCCCAGGGCCTGTCACCAGGCAACACATGAGCCCCGCGCGCATCACCAGGCAACAACTGAGCCCCGCGCGCGTCACCAGGCAAAGAATGAGATGCGCGCGTCACAAAGCAACAAATGAGCCTCACGCGCATCACCAGGCAACACATGAGTCCCACGTGTGACACCAGGCAACACATGAACCCAGTGCGCATCACCAGGAAACACATGAGCCCCGCACGCGTCACCGGGCAACACATGAGCCGCGCGCGTCACCAGGCAAGACATTAGCCCAGGGCCGGTCACCAGGCAACACATTAGCCCAGTGCCCGTCAACAGGCAACACATGAGCCCATGAGGCGCGTCACCAGGCAACACATGAGCCCCGCGCACATCACCATGCAACAAATGAGCCCCGTGCGCATCACCTCGCAACACATGAGCCCCGTGCACATCACCTCGCAACACATGAGCCCCGTGCGCGTCACCAGACAACACATTAAGCCCCGCGCGCGTCACCACGCAACACATGACCCCCGCGCCCATCACCATGCAACACATGAGCCCCGCACGTGTCACCAGGCAACACATGAGCCCCGCGCGCGACACCAGGCAACACATTAGCCCAGTGCCCGTCAACAGGCAACACATGAGCCCATGAGGCGCGTCACCAGGCAACACATGAGCCCAGCGCACATCACCATGCAACAAATGAGCCCCGTGCGCATCACCTCGCAACACATGAGCCCCGTGCACATCACCTCGCAACACATGAGCCCCGTGCGCGTCACCAGACAACACATTAAGTCCCGCGCGCGTCACCACGCAACACATGACCCCCGCGCCCATCACCATGCAACACATGAGCCCCGCACGTGTCACCAGGCAACACATGAGCCCCGCGCGCGACACCAGGCAACGCATGAGCCCCGCGCGCGACACCAGGCAACGCATGAACCCCGCGTGCGACACCAGGCAACGCATGAGCCCTGCGTGCGACACCAGGCAACGCATGAGCCCCGCATGCGACACCAGGCAACGCATGAGCCCCGCGTGCGACACCAGGCAACGCATGAGCCCCGCGCCCGTCACCAGGCAACGCATGAGCCCAGCGCACGTCACCAGGCCACACACAAGGCCTGCGTGCATCACCAGGCAAGACATTAGCCCAGGGCCCGTCACCAGGCAACACATGAGCCCCGCGCGCGTCACTTTGCTACACATGAGCCCCGTGCGTCACCAGGTAACACATCAGCCCCGTGTGCGTCACCAGTCAACACCTGAGCCCCACGCGCGTCATCACGCAGCACATGAGCCCCGCACGCGGCACCAGGCAACAAATGAGCCCCGCGTCCGTCACCAGGCAACGCATGAGCCCCGCGCGCGACACCAGGCAATGCATGAGCCCCGCGCCTGTCACCAGGCCACACAAGGCCTACGCGCATCAGTAGGCAAAAAATGAGCACCGCGCACATCACCATGCAACAAATGAGCCCCGTGCGCATCACCTCGCAACACATGAGCCCCGTGTACATCACCTCGCAACACATGAGCCCCGTGCGCGTCACCAGACAACACATTAAGCCCCGCGCCCATCACCACGCAACACATGAGCCCCGCGCGCGACACCAGGCAACACATTAAGCCCCGCGCGCGTCACCACGCAACACATGACCCCCGCGCCCATCACCATGCAACACATGAGCCCCACACGTGTCACCAGGCAACACATGAGCCCCGCGCGCGACACCAGGCAACGCATGAGCCCCGCGCGCGACACCAGGCAACGCATGAACCCCGCGTGCGACACCAGGCAACGCATGAGCCCTGCGTGCGACACCAGGCAACGCAAGAGCCCCGCGTGCGACACCAGGCAACGCATGAGCCCCGCGTGCGACACCAGGCAACGCATGAGCCCCGCGCCCGTCACCAGGCAACACATGAGCCCAGTGCACATCACCAGGCCACACACGAGGCCTGCGTGCATCACCAGGCAAGACATTAGCCCAGGGCCCGTCACCAGGCAACACATGAGCCCCGCGCGCGTCACCAGGCAACAAATAAGCCCCGCGCGCGTCACTTTGCAACACATGAGCCCCGCGCGTCACCAGGTAACACATCAGCCCCGTGCGCGTCACCAGTCAACACCTGAGCCCCGCACGCGGCAACACGCAGCACATGAGCCCCGCATGCGGCACCAGGCAACAAATGAGCCCCGCGTCCGTCACCAGGCAACGCATGAGCCCCGCGCGCGACACCAGGCAACGCATGAGCCCCGCGCCTGTCACCAGGCCACACAAGGCCCACGCGCATCATTAGGCAAAAAATGAGCCCCGCGCACGTCACCAGGCAAAACATGATTCTCGCGCGCGTCACCAGGCGCAACATGAGCCACGAGCGTTACCAGGCAAAACATGCGCTGCGTGAGTCACAAGGTAACAAATGAGCCCCGCCGCACGTCACCAGGCACCAGCACGCGGTGGCTCATGTGTTACCTGGTGAAGTGCGCGGGGCTCATGTGTTGCCTGGTGACTGAACCTCTATGTGATATTCATTAGTATGGTAGCATGATCCGTAGATCACACCCCAGTATATTGAAATCTGCACATAAGACGTCAAGTTAAAGAGAATTATTAAAGTTAAAGAGAAGTGAAAAGAGAGTGTTATCACTAACACACATCATGGGAATGAAGCTCCGGAGCAGATTTATACTGTTATTCTGTGACTGCTATGCTTGCTTTCAGGAGAGGCGAGGTTTAGGGGAAGTCCCTGCCAGCATCAACTCTCACACTAGACTGAAAGCTCAGACATTAAACATTCACCAGCAGAGACGTGAGAGAGAACACAGTGAACACAGATTGTGACCAGGGGAAGATCCAATGTAAAGGACACCAGGAAAAGACTACAAACAGGACATTTTTATCATATGATGGGGCTGTGAGCACAGCTCTTAGTGGGTATCCTGTTATACAGCCCTGGCTAAGTGCGAGGATTATTATACAGCCGTGGATGAGTGAAGCTATAGTTACAGAGCTGCTGTGCAGATCGTCTCTGAATGTTCTCATTATTAATCAAATTAAAGCATTCATTGTCTCCTTTCAATGGTTGTGTAGAGACAGGTCACTACAGCAGGGTCACAATATGGTTCTTCATGATTAATAACGGACTACCTGAGATTCCTTAGATGTTACTAAGATGTTGAAGATATTGGGAAGGTTTGGTAGCTCGAGGTCAAATGGACAAACTTCAAAAACATCTTCATCAGATCTCTAAAAATAAAAACAGATTAGTTAGTGAACGTGAAAAAAAAATAAACATTTCTAAATTCAAGAAGTGAAAAGAGAGTGTTATCCCGAACACACACCATGGGAATGAAGCTCTGGAGCAGATTTCCTATCTTAGTCTACTGTGTCGGACTGAGCTGTTTGCAGTTTGGCAAAAATATACCCGAAGAAAAGTTCAGCAAAATTAGAAACAAAAATTTCTTTTTAGACACATTTTCGAAGGATCTTATTATTCGGCAGGAGGTCTGTTCTAAGTTGGGGTCCATCGTCGCAAGTATTTATAACCAGGGTTTAACTTTGGATTTGTTCTGTGTGGAATATCTACACAATTACTTTATATACTTTTATTCTGTGAAGAGTATATTCAACTTTGTTCAAGATATTGTTTTTGCTTGCAGAATATATTGTTGTCTGTACTGTTATTATGTGACTGCTATGCTTGCTTGCTTTCAGGTAGTACGAGGCGAGGCTTAGTGGGAAGTCCCTGCCAGTATCAATTCTCACACTAGACTGAAAGCTCAGACATTAAACATTCACCAGCAGAGATGTGAGAGAGAACACAGTGAACACAGATTGTGACCAGGGGAAGATCCAATGTAAAGGACACCAGGAAAAGACTACAAACAGGACATTTTTATCATATCATGGGGCTGTGAGCACAGCTCTTAGTGGGTATCCTGTTATACAGCCCTGGCTAAGTGCGAGGATTATTATACAGCCATGGATGAGTGAAGCTGTAGTTACAGAGCTGCTGTGCAGATCGTCTCTGAATGTTTTCGACAGTGAGACAGTGCTGTACAGTCCTCATTGCTGGAGACATTGACCACACAGGAGCCGTTGCTTATAATGAACTGCAGGGCGAGTTGGAACCCATTTCCAAAAGTTTTCAGCTGATGCTTGTTTTGAGGGAGATGCAGGGATCACTGTGTTAATGTGCCAAACGCAGGCAGTCTGGTTACATATTATGCAAGAAACACAACTCTAAATTCAAGTTATATTTTAATGTGGTGAAACTGAAGATCGATCTAGATTGCTCACTCCCATAGAAATAGGATCCTCAGCTCCTCTTATTTGTTTGTCAAATTTTATTTTGTCTGTTAGATGTATTGTACCTTTGTCTTTTTACTTGTACCAATTGTAACCATGAGCAGCACGGCAGAATGTGTTGGTGCATTACAATAAAAGTATGATAATAGCTCATCTTGGACAAAAGTCACCGGGCAACACATGAGCCCCGTGCACATCACCACCCAAGGCAAGACATGTGCCCCGCGCACGTCACCATGCAACACATGAGCCCCGCGCAAGTCACCGGGCAACACACGAGCCCCGCGTGCGTCACCAGGCAACACACGAGCACCTCGCGCATCAACCAGGCGGAACATGAGCCCCGCACGCGTCACGAGGCAACACATGAGCCCCGCGCGCGTCACCACGCAACACATAAGTCGAGCGCATCACCAGGCAACACATTAGCCCTGCGCACGTCACCACACAAGGCAAAACATGAGCCCCGCGCGTGTCACCAGGCAACACATGAGCCCCGAATGCATCAGAAGGCAACACATGAGCCCCGCGCACGTCACCACGCAACACATGAGCCCCGCGCCGTCACCACGCAACACATGAGCCCCACGCGCGTCACCAGGTAAAACATGAGCCGCGCGCGTCACCAGGCAACAAATGAGACTCGCGTGCGTCACAAAGCAACACATGAGTCCGGCACGTGACACCAGGCATCACATGAGCCCAGTGTGCATCACCAGGAAACACATGAGCCCCGCACGCGTCACCGGGAAACACATGAGCCACGTGCGTCACCAGGCAAGACATTAGCCCAGGGCCTGTCACCAGGCAGCACATGAGCCCCGCGCGCATCACCAGGCAACAACTGAGCCCCGCGCGCGTCACCAGGCAAAGAATGAGACGTGCGCGTCACAAAGCAACAAATGAGCCTCACGCGCATCACAAGGCAACACATGAGTCCCACGTGTGACACCAGGCAACACATGAACCCAGTGCGCATCACCAGGAAACACATGAGCCCCGCATGCGTCACCGGGCAACACATGAGCCGCGCGCGTCACCAGGCAAGACATTAGCCCAGGGCCGGTCACCAGGCAACACATTAGCCCAGTGCCCATCACCAGGCAACACATGAGCCCATGAGGCGCGTCACCAGGCAACACATGAGCCCCGCGCACATCACCATGCAACAAATGAGCCCCGTGCGCATCACCTCGCAACACATGAGCCCCGTGCACATCACCTCGCAACACATGAGCCCCGTGCGCGTCACCACGCAACACATGAGCCCTGCGCCCATCACCATGCAACACATGAGCCCCGCGCGTGTCACCAGGCAACACATGAGCCCCGCGCGCGACACCAGGCAACGCATGAGACACGCGCGCGTCACCAGGCAAGACATTAGCCCAGGGCCGGTCACCAGGCAACACATTAGCCCAGTGCCCGTCACCAGGCAACACATGAGCCCATGAGGCGCGTCACCAGGCAACACATGAGCCCCGCGCACATCACCATGCAACAAATGAGCCCCGTGCGCATCACCTCGCAACACATGAGCCCCGTGCACATCACCTCGCAACACATGAGCCCCGTGCGCATCACCACGCAACACATGAGCCCCGTGCACATCACCTCGCAACACATGAGCCCCGTGCGCATCACCACGCAACACATGAGCCCCGCGCCCATCACCATGCAACACATGAGCCCCGCGCGTGTCACCAGGCAACACATGAGCCCCGCGCGCGACACCAGGCAACGCATGAGCCCCGTGCATGACACCAGGCAATGCATGAGCCCCGCGCATGACACCAGGCAACGCATGAGCCCCGCGCCTGTCACCAGGCCACAGAAGGCCCACGCGCATCATAAGGCAAAAAATGAGCCCAGCGCACGTCACCAGGCAAAACATGAGCCCCGTGCGCGTCACCAGGCGAAACATGAGCCACGAGTGTCACCAGGCAAAACATGAGCCGCGCGTATCACAAGGCAATAAATGAGCCCCGCCGCACGTCACCAGGCACCAGCACGCTCATTTGTTGCCTGGTGACGCGTGGGGCTCACGTGTCGTCTGGTGATGCGCGAGGGGCTCATGTGTTGCCTGGTGACGTGCGTGGTGCTCATGTGTTGCCTGGTGACTGGCGCGGGGCTCATGCGTTGCCTGGTGTCGCGCGCGGGGCTCATGTGTTAATGTGCCAAAAGCAGGCAGTCTGGTTACATATTATGCATTTAAACATTTGTTGAAATTTTTTGCACAGTAGAAAAAAAAACAAAGATATTTGATACTGAATGTGGAATGGTGGCAGTTAATGCTGTCTTATATAAGGGAAAATGCTTAATGCAATGTATGGTGTCTTTTCTTTGTTTCAAATTGACTGCCTGGAGCTTCATTTCCATGGTGTGTGTTAGTGATAACACTCTCTTTTCACTTCCAATATTCAACACATTTTTCTCTTTAACATGACGTCACACAAATCATAAAGAAAGGGATTCCGATACAAAGTTCTACCAGCATGGAGTGCAAACATGCTCTTAGTGTGTAATGTCACTAATATGATGACTGTTTAATGGATATTTTTGGTGGACTTCTGAAGCCATAAGATGTTGCCCGTTGTGTGATGTGTGTGGTGGCCTTTGTACATTACTGCTTACACCTGCCTACATTTAAAATGTTTCAATCAGTATCAGAAAAGATGGTAGAATTCTTTTTTTTTAATGGTTTATCTACAGTAGTCACTATTAAATTCTTTTTGTAGTTGTTGTAAATCTGTGTTTATTGAATTTTTGCATTTGTGATAACAAGAAATCAAAGGCACGCTGGACGCAATGTAGACATATGTTTCCATTAAATATACAGTTATCCATGGTACACATATACAATCACTCTGTCAGCCATTTAACAGTAGCCAGTTTGTGGTCCAGAACCTCTATGTGATATTCATTAGTATGGTAGCATGATCCGTAGATCACACCCCAGTATATTGAAATCTGCACATAAGACGTCAAGTTAAAGAGAAATATTAAAGTTAAAGAGAAGCTCCGGAGCAGGGAATGAAGCTCCGGAGCAGATTTATACTGTTATTCTGTGACTGCTATGCTTGCTTTCAGGAGAGGCGAGGTTTAGGGGAAGTCCCTGCCAGCTTCAACTCTCACACTAGACTGGAAGCTCAGACATTAAACATTCACCAGCAGAGACGTGAGAGAGAACACAGTGAACACAAATTGTGACCAGGGGAAGATCCAATGTAAAGGACACCAGGGAAAGACTACAAACAGGACATTTTTATCATATGATGGGGCTCTGAGCACAGCTTTTAGTGGGTATCCTGTTATACAGCCCTGGCTAAGTGCGAGGATTATTATACAGCCATGGATGAGTGAAGCTGTAGTTACAGAGCTGCTGTGTAGATCGTCTCTGAATGTTCTCGACAGTGAGACAGTGCTGTACAGTCCTCATTGCTGCCCGATAGCTGGAGACATTGACCACACAGGAGCCGCTGCTTATAATGAACTGCAGGGCGAGTTGGAACCCACTTCCAAAAGTTTTCAGCTGATGGTTGTTTCGAGGGAGATGCAGCGATCACTGTGTTAATGTGCCAAACGCAGGCTCTGGTTACATATTATGCAAGAAACACAACTCTAAATTCAAGTTATATTTTAATGAGGTGAAACTGAAGATCCATCTGGATTGTTCGTTCCCATAGAAATAGGATCCTCAACTCCTCTTATATTTGTTTGTCAAATTTTATTTTGTCTGTTAGATGTATTGTACCTTTGTCTTTTTACTTGTACCAATTGTAACCATGAGCAGCACGGCAGAATGTGTTGGTGCATTACAATAAAAGTATGATAATAGCTCATCTTGGACAAAAGTAATGTCTGAAGCTAAATCTTTCTGGAACATTTGCCTTTGGACTCAGACTGTGAGTGTGTCTCTCCCAGGGAATTATGTGTCTGTCGGCTAGAGCTATGTGTGATCATGAAGCTGCTGAGTGTAGACTAACATTGCTCTGAGTCTCTAGCTGTCTGTCAGTGTGAGTTGTGTTTTACAGCCCTGAATAAATGAAGCTGCCATTCACCTTGTCTATTTGGCACTCAGCCTCCGTCCAGCAGCCCTTTCCCAACAGTCAATTTGAAGCAGAGACAAAGAAAAGGGAAAACTCATTACAGAACATTACAGGACTTTTAGGACTCAACCTCTCAGTTTAAGCTTCTCAACTTGGGTTTTAATAACCAGCTTCTTTGTAAGAGTCCACTATGTTTTAGTAATTAATCTCTATATCATTCTGTGGATTATCTTCAGGCCTGTTCTACATACTAATATTATGTGCAGAATATAATTCAGATTGCCTTCCTTCTCTACAGGATATATTGAGGTTTACATTTCCTGAATGACTCATCGAGAGCGTTTGTTTTTTGTTGCAAAAAGCTTCCTGCTTTTGTTGCCAGTGAAGGCAGCTCCACAGGACTACATGCCGCGTCTCCATCCCACACACAATATATGTAGAATCTTTTTATGCAAAGACATATTTCTCTAATGTGTATATCTCAATGTAAATCTCCCTCTTTCTTGGTGACTAGCGATGCTGCTGAAAGTCTTAAACAACACATGACTTTGTATTAAAAATACATGTATGTACGTAGCGGGGAATGTGGTGCGACTAAAAGAAAGACTACCCACTTATCCCCCCAATAATGACAGACAATGCATATTGGATGAAACAGGTCACAGCATTTATTAAAACTTACAACTGTAGGACACATCCGAACTTCATTCTTTTCCTCTAATTCCAATATAGATAAACACATAAATATATATACATACCATAATTAACAATAAATTAACACTTATAGCCCTACAGCCTTCAACTTAAATAACCGTCCTTGCCAACGAACTTAACTAGGTGCCTATGCACCAAAAACTTTACCCACTGGTGTCTCGCCTCCCCCCTCGTCCAAACCAAATTCCCATCATCTTAAATGCTCTAACCACCAGCCGGCTCTTAGCTCGGTGGGCACTTCCAATTCGGTAACTTGAAAGTTTACCTTACAGAGCAGGGGAGGTTGAGACCCACCTTGTCCATCTCCTGACATTCCATCTGCTCCCCAACCCTGTTGGCAAGGACATGCTCCCCGCTAGCTGTGACAAAACAAAACAAAAAACAAAACAAAAACAAAACATAAATTAGGGTGGGTGGGAGGGAAGTTGTTTGCTGGCCAGAATCCCAAAAGGCACTGAGGTAAGATGATCCCTGCCCCACTACAAACCCATAACCACTCCCCTAAACACATACAGCCAATCACTAGCACCGTCCCCACACTCATACATGTGCCCTTGTACGTTTAGCTGTGCTGACTCCCCAGGGCCTCAATTACTTGGATTTTTGATGTCAGTTATTGACTTTGTAAGTGGTGTCATATTCTGGATAAAAGATAGTCAAAGAGCAGAACTGTCTCCTTTCTTAGCTCTGCCACCACTTAGGGCACCCCTTCTTGTTTAGAGCAGGAATGGCCATGACTCCAGGGGCCCTGTGAGGGGTCGACGTTGAGACTCGTATTACCACCCAAACTGCGCATTACTTTTTAGGAACTGTTCCAGTTCTCATCTTTGAGTGCTGACCGAGGTACAACACATTTCTAGAGACCACCAATATTATATTACAAACTTTCCCCCTCTAAACTAAGACAGTTTGAAATCCAACCTTGAAATTTGGAGCGTCAAATATCATAGTTTTTTCCAGTGTATTTATATTGCACAAAAAACAACTTCACAAATTATCAGCTTATACAAAGTTTATTTTCTCAAAGTAGCATTCTCAGAGTAAGAAATATTGCGAGATAATTCTCGGTTGTACGTGTTATATTCATATTTCTTGTCCACTGTTCAGTTCATAGTCTTTGGTTCATGGTCCCTTAATGACTATGTGATTTTGATTGTGAGATCCTTTTGGAATCCCGTGTAAGAATGCCACGAACATCTCTGTATCTAAGAGTTAGAAGTTAGACGCGATGTTGCTTTCTCAGATTCCATCTTCTCATTAAAGAGTAAAGTAGATCAACCCGTAGTAAAATCTCCTGAATTTTAGCTGTAGCGATAGTACGAGCACACGCTGTATCACCCTGCAGAGAAGAATAGAGAAATTATTATACAAATGGTAAAAGTAGAGAAGGTAGAATTTGGGGAAGGCAAATGGGGAGACAATGCTATGTCTGACACTATCCTCAGCTGTAGGATTGTTTTGACTCGTTATGTCACTTGCTGAGAATAAATGCGCGTGGGAAACTTATCCTGAACTAGAAGATGCTGGAATTAGGGGTGGAGACGGGGTTGGCCAGAAAGTATTTGCAAACATTATTAATACCTGCTTTTGGACAATCTCATTGAGGTTACTGAAATATCTTGTTATTTCTTCCAGGATAGCAGGATTTTCATCAGTCTTTGTAAACTGAAAACATGAAAGAATTTGTTATTGATACCTTCATTATCAAGCAAAGACAGATTCTGTTACTTAATAAATGACTTAATAGCATAGTTTATAAAATACCAGCATATTCAGCAGTGCTGTACAACTTACACACATGGCCAATGCATTTATATGGTAACAAAGAATTTGTTGGAACTCATCCCAGGCTGCAAGCTTATCACCGATTGTCTTCTGTTGTACCCACGGGGACTTTCTTATTTCAATCAGAACCTTTCTCACAATGGCTGCAGCTAACCCCTGGAATAACAAAGACAGACTTTAACAAGTGCATTAAGGTGAATACATTCAGTATTAATCAAATTAAAGCATTCATTGTCTCCTTTCAATGGTTGTGTAGAGACAGGTCACTACAGCAGGGTCACAATATGGTTCTTCATGATTAATAATGGACTACCTGAGATTCCTTAGATGTTACTAAGATGTTGAAGATATTGGGAAGGTTTGGTAGCTCGAGGTCAAATGGACAAACTTCAAAAATATCTTCATCAGATCTCTAGAAATAAAAACAGATTAGTTAGTGAACGTGAAAAAAATAAATCAAAATTTCTAAATTCAAGAAGTGAAAAGAGAGTGTTATCCCGAACACACACCATGGGAATGAAGCTCTGGAGCAGATTTCCTATCTTAGTCTCCTGTGTCGGACTGAGCTGTTTGCAGTTTGGCAAAAATATACCCGAAGAAAAGTTCAGCAAAATTAGAAACAAAAATTTCATTTTTAGACACATTTTCGAAGGATCTTATTATTCGGCAGGAGGTCTGTTCTAAGTTGGGGTCCATCGTCGCAAGTATTTATAACCAGGGTTTAACTTTGGATTTGTTCTGTGTGGAATATCTACACAATTACTTTATATACTTTTATTCTGTGAAGAGTATATTCAACTTTGTTCAAGATATTGTTTTTGCTTGCAGAATATATTGTTGTCTGTACTGTTATTATGTGACTGCTATGCTTGCTTGCTTTCAGGTAGTACGAGGCGAGGCTTAGTGGGAAGTCCCTGCTAGTATCAATTCTCACACTAGACTGAAAGCTCAGACATTAAACATTCACCAGCAGAGATGTGAGAGAGAACACAGTGAACACAGATTGTGACCAGGGGAAGATCCAATGTAAAGGACACCAGGAAAAGACTACAAACAGGACATTTTTATCATATAATGGGGCTGTGAGCACAGCTCTTAGTGGGTATCCTGTTATACAGCCCTTGCTAAGTGCGAGGATTATTATACAGCCATGGATGAGTGAAGCTGTAGTTACAGAGCTGCTGTGCAGATCGTCTCTGAATGTTTTCGACAGTGAGACAGTGCTGTACAGTCCTCATTGCTGGAGACATTGACCACACAGGAGCCGTTGCTTATAATGAACTGCAGGGCGAGTTGGAACCCACTTCCAAAAGGTTTCAGCTGATGGTTGTTTCAAGGGAGATGCAGCGTTCACTGTGTTAATGTGCCAAACGCAGGTTCTGCTTACATATTATGCAAGAAACACAACTCTAAATTCAAGTTATATTTTAATGAGGTGAAACTGAAGATCGATCTAGATTGCTCATTCCCATAGAAATAGGATCCTCAACTCCTCTTATATTTGTTTGTCAAATTTTATTTTGTCTGTTAGATGTATTGTACCTTTGTCTTTTTACTTGTACCAATTGTAACCATGAGCAGCATGGCAGAATGTGTTGGTGCATTACAATAAAAGTATGATAATAGCTCATCTTGGACAAAAGTAATGTCAACACCTGAGCCGCGTGTGTCATCAGGCAACACATTAGCCCAGTGCCCGTCACCAGGCAACACATGAGCCCATGGGGCGCGTCACCAGGCAACACATGAGCCCCGCGCGCGTCACCAGGCAACACATTAAGCCCCGCGCACGTCACCATGCAACAAATGAGCCCCGTGCGCATCACCTCGCAACACATGAGCCCCGTGCACATCACCTCGCAACACATGAGCCCCGTGCGCGTCACCAGACAACACATTAAGCCCTGCGCGCGTCACCACGCAACACATGAGCCCCGCTCACGTCACCTGGCAACACATGAGCCCATGGGGCGCGTCACCAGGCAGGACATGAGCCGCGCGCGTCACCAGGCAACACATCAGCCCCGCGCGCGACACCAGGCAACACATGAGCCAAGCGCGCGTCACCAGGCCACACATGAGGCCTGCGCGCATCACCAGGCAAGACATTAGCCCAGGGCCCGTCACCATGCAACACATGAGCCCCACGCGCGTCACCAGGCAACAAATGAGCCCCGCGTGCGTCACCTCGCAACACATGAGCCCCGCGCCCTTCACAAGGCAACACATTTTTGCCTGGTGATGCACGCAGGCCTCATGTGTGGCCTGGTGACCCGCGCTGGGCAGGCAACAAATGAGCCCCGTGCGCGTCTTTTTGCAACACATGAGCCCCGCGCGTCACCAGGCAACACTTGAGCCCCGTGTGTGTCACCACGAATGAGCCCTGCGCGTGTCACCTTGCAACACATGAGCGCAACGCCCATCACAAGGCAACACATGAGCCGCGTGTGTCATCAGGCAACACATTAGCCCAGTGCCCGTCACCAGGCAACACATGAGCCCATGGGGCGCATCACCAGGCAACACATGAGCCCCGTGCGTGACACCAGGCAACACATTAGCCCAGCGCCCGTCACCAGGCAAAATATGAGCCGTGTACGTCACCAGGCAACAAATGAGCCCCGCGCGCGTCACCTCGCAACACATGAGCCCCACGCGTCACCAGGCAACACATGAGCCCCACGCGTCACCAGGCAACACATGAGCCCCGCGCGTGTCACCACACAGCACATGAGCCCCGTGCCCGTCACTAGGCAACTCATGAGCCCAGCGCGTGTCACAAGGCCACACATGAGGCCTGCGCGCATCACCAGGCAAAAAATGAGGCCCGCGCGCATCATCAGGCAAAAAATGAGCCCCGCGCGCGTCATCAGGCAAAACATTAGCCCCGCGAGCATCACCAGGCAAAACATGGGCCGCGAGCGTCACCAAGCAAAACATAAGCCGCGCGCGTCACAAGGCAACAAATGAGCCCCGCCACACGTCACCAGGCACCAGCTCGCGGGGGCTCATTTGTTGCCTGGTGAAGCGCGCGGGGCTCATATGTCATCTGGTAATGCGCGAGGGGCTCATGTGTTGCCTGGTGACGTGCGCGGGGCTCATGTGTTGCCTGGTGACGTGCGCGGGGCTCATGTGTTGCCTGGTGACAGGCGCAGGGCTCATTTGTTGCCTTGTGACGCGCGCGGGGCTTATTTTTTGCCTGGTGATGCACGCAGGCCTCATGTGTGGCCTGGTGACGCGCGCTGGGCAGGCAACAAATGATCCCCGTGCGCGTCACTTTGCAACACATGAGCTCCGCGCGTCACCAGGCAACACTTGAGCCCCGTGCGTGTCACCACGCAGCACCTGAGCCCCGCGCGTGACACCAGGCAACGCATGAGCACCGCGTGCGACACCAGGCAACGCATGAGCCCCGCGCGCATCACCTCGCAACACATGAGCCCCGCGCGTCACCAGTCATCTCAAAAGCCCCGTGCGCGTCACCAGTCAACACCTGAGCCCCACGTGCGTCACCACGCAGCACATGAGCCCCGCGCGCGACACCAGGCAACGCATGAGCCCCGCGCCTGTCACCAGGCCACACAAGGCCCCCGCGCATCATTAGGCAAAAAATGAGCCCCGCGCACGTCACCAGGCAAAACATGCGCCGCGCTCGTCACAAGGTAACAAATGAGCCCCGCCGCACATCACCAGGCACCAGCACGCAGTGGCTCATGTGTTGCCTGGTGACGTGCGCGGTTCTCATATGTTGCCTGGTGACTGAACCTCTATGTGATATTCATTAGTATGGTAGCATGATCCATAGATCACACCCCAGTATATTGAAATCTGCACATAAGACGTCAAGTTAAAGAGAAATATTAAAGTTAAAGAGAAGTGAAAAGAAAGTGTTATCACTAACACACATCATGGGAATGAAGCTCCGGAGCAGATTTATACTGTTATTATGTGACTGCTATGCTTGCTTGCTTTCAGGAGAGGCGAGGTTTAGGGGAAGTCCCTGCCAGCATCAACTCTCACACTAGACTGAAAGCTCAGACATTAAACATTCACCAGCAGAGACGTGAGAGAGAACACAGTGAACACAGATTGTGACCAGGGGAAGATCCAATGTAAAGGACACCAGGAAAAGACTACAAACAGGACATTTTTATCATATGATGGGGCTGTGAGCACAGCTCTTAGTGGGTATCCTGTTATACAGCCCTGGCTAAGTGCGAGGATTATTATACAGCCATGGATGAGTGAAGCTGTAGTTACAGAGCTGCTGTGCAGATCGTCTCTGAATGTTTTCGACAGTGAGAGAGTGCTGTACAGTCCTCATTGCTGGAGACATTGACCACACAGGAGCCGTTGCTTATAATGAACTGCAGGGCGAGTTGGAACCCACTTCCAAAAGTTTTCAGCTGATGGTTGTTTCAAGGGAGATGCAGCGATCACTGTGTTAATGTGCCAAACACAGGCAGTCTGGTTACATATTATGCAAGAAACACAACTCTAAATTCAAGTAATATTTTAATGAGGTGAAACTGAAGATCCATCTAGATTGTTCGTTCCCATAGAAATAAGATCCTCAACTCCTCTTATATTTGTTTGTCAAATTTTATTTTGTCTGTTAGATGTATTGTACCTTTGTCTTTTTACTTGTACCAATTGTAACCATGAGCAGCATGGCAGAATGTGTTGGTGCATTACAATAAAAGTATGATAATAGCTCATCTTGGACAAAAGTAATGTCTGAAGCTAAATCTTTCTGGAACATTTGCCTTTGGACTCAGACTGTGAGTGTGCCTCTCCCAGGGAATTATGTGTCTGTCGGCTAGAGCTATGTGTGATCATGAAGCTGCTGAGTGTAGAGTAACATTGCTCTGAGTCTGTATATGTCTGCTAGAGTGAGTTGTGTTTTACAACCCTGGATAAGTGAAGCTGCCATTCACCTTGTCTATTTGGCACTCAGCCTCAATCTAGCAGCAGCACATTACAGAACACCATACATTGTATTAAACATTTTCCCATCTATTCTAAGACAGCGCGTCACCACGCAATACACGAGCCCCGCATGCATTACCAGGCAACACATGAGCCCAGCGCGCGTCACCAGGCAACACATGAGCCCCTCACGCGTCAGAAGGCAACATATGAGCCCCGCGTGCATCACCAGGCAACGCATGAGCCGCAACCATCACCAGGCAACACATGAGCCCCGTGCACGTCACCAGGAAACATATGCGCCTCGCGCAAGTCACCAGGCAACACATGAGCCCCGCGTGCATCACCACGCAACACATGAGCCCCGCGCACGTCACTTGGCAACACATGAGCCCCGCGCGTCACCAGGCAAAGCATGAGCCGCTTGCGTCACAAAGCAACAAATGAGCCTCACGCTCATCACCAGGCAACACATGAGCCCCGCGCGTGACACCAGGCAACACATGAACCCAGTGCACGTCACCAGGAAACACATGAGCCCCGCACGCGTCACCGGGCAACACATGAGCAGCGCGCGTCACCAGGCAAGACATTAGCCCAGGGCCCATCACCAGGCAACACATGAGCCCCGCGCGAGTCACCAAGCAACGAATGAGCCCTGCGCGCGTCACCTCGCAACACGTGAGCGCAGCGCCCATCACAAGGCAACACATGAGCCGCGCGTGTCATCAGGCAACACATTAGCCCAGTGCCCGTCACCAGGCAACACATGAGCCCATGGGGCGCGTCACCAGGCAACACATTAAGCCCCGCGCACGTCACCATGCAACAAATGAGCCCCGTGCGCATCACCTCGCAACACATGAGCCCCGTGCACATCACCTCGAAACACATGAGCCCCGTGCACGTCACCAGACAACACATTAGCCCAGGGCCCGTCATCAGGCAACACATGATCCCCGCGCGCGTCACCAGGCAACAAATGAGCCCCGCGTGCGTCACCTCGCAACACATGAGCCTCGCGCCCTTCACAAGGCAACACATGAGCCGCGCGTGGCACCAGGCAACACATTAGCCCAGCGCCCGTCACCAGGCAAAATATGAGCCGCGCACGTCACCAGGCAACAAATGAGCCCCGTGCGCGTCACCTCGCAACACATGAGCCCCGCGCGTCACCAGGCAACACATGGGCCTCGTGCGCGACACCAGGCAACACATGAGCCCCGTGCATTTCACCACACAGCACATGAGCCCCGCGCGTCACCAGGCAACACATGGGCCTCGTGCGCGACACCAGGCAACACATGAGCCCCGCGCATGTCACCACACAGCACATGAGCCCCGCGCGTGTCACCAGGCAAAACATGAGCCCCGCGCGCGACACCAGGCAACTCATTACTCCTGCGCGCGACACCGGGCAACGCATGAGCCCCGCGCGCGTCACCAGGCGAAACATGAGCCACGAGCGTCACCAGGCAAAACATAAGCTGCGCACGTCACAAGGTAACAAATGAGCCCCGCCACACGTCACCAGGCACCAGCACGCGGTGGCTCATGAGTTGCCTGGTGACGTGCGCGGGCTCATGTGTTGCCTGGTGACTGAACCTCTATGTGATATTCATTAGTATGGTAGCATGATCCGTAGATCACACCCCAGTATATTGAAATCTGCACATAAGACGTCAAGTTAAAGAGAAATATTAAAGTTAAAGAGAAGTGAAAAGAGAGTGTTATCACTAACACACATCATGGGAATGAAGCTCCGGAGCAGATTTATACTGTTATTATGTGACTGCTATGCTTGCTTTCAGGAGAGGCGAGGTTTAGGGGAAGTCCCTGCCAGCATCAACTCTCACACTAGACTGAAAGCTCAGACATTAAACATTCACCAGCAGAGACGTGAAAGAGAACACAGTGAACACAGATTGTGACCAGGGGAAGATCCAATGTAAAGGACACCAGGAAAAGACTACACACAGGACATTTTTATCATATGATGGGGCTGTGAGCACAGCTCTTAGTGGGTATCCTGTTATACAGCCCTGGCTAAGTGCGAGGATTATTATACAGCCGTGGATGAGTGAAGCTGTAGCTACAGGGCTGCTGTGCAGATCGTCTCTGAATGTTCTCGACAATGAGACAGTGCTGTACAGTCCTCATTGCTGGAGACATTGACCACACAGGAGACATTGCTTATTATGAACTGCAGGGCGAGTTGGAACCCACTTCCAAATGTTTTCAGCTGATGGTTGTTTCGAGGGAGATGCAGCGATCACTGTCTTAATGTGCCAAACGCAGGCAGTCTGGTTACATATTATGCAAGAAACACAACTCTAAATTCAAGTTATATTTTAATGAGGTGAAACTGAAGATCCATCTAGATTGTTCGTTCCCATAGAAATAGGATCTCAACTCCTCTTATATTTGTTTTTCAAATTTTATTTTGCCTGTTAGATGTATTGTACCTTTGTCTTTTTACTTGTACCAATTGTAACCATGAGCAGCATGGCAGAATGTGTTGGTGCATTACAATAAAAGTATGATAATAGCTCATCTTGGACAAAAGTAATGTCTGAAGCTAAATCTTTCTGGAACTTTTGCCTTTGGGCTCAGACTGTGAGTGTGTCTCTCCCAGGAAATTATGTGTCTGTCGGCTAGAGCTATGTGTGATCATGAAGCTGCTTAGTGTAGAGTAACATGGCTCTGAGTCTCTAGCTGTCTGCTAGAGTGAGTTGTGTTTTGCAGCCCTGGATAAGTGAAGCTGCCATTCACCTTGTCTATTTGGCCTCCATCCAGCAGCCCTTTACCAACAGTCAATCTGAAGCAGAGACAAAGAAAAGACACAACACATTACAGAACACCATACATTGTATTAAACATTTTCCCTTCTATTCTAAGACAGCGCGTCACCACGGAATACATGAGCCCCGCATGCGTCACCATGCAACAAATGAGCCCTGTGCGCATCACCAGGCAACACATGAGCATCGCACGTGTCACCAGACAAAAAATGAGCCCCACATGCATCACCAGGCAAAACATGAGCCCCGTGCGCGTCAGCAGGCAACACATGAGCCGTGCGCGTCACCCGGCAACACATTAGCACCGCGCACGTCACCCAGCAACAAAGGAGCCCCGCACGCGTCACCGGGCAACACATGACCGCGCGCGTCACCAGGTAAGACATTAGCCCAGGGCCCGTCACCAGGCAACACATGAGTCCCCCGCACGTCACCAGGCAACATATGAACCCAGTGCTCGTCACCAGAAAACACATGAGCCCCATGCACGTCACCAGGCAACACATGAGCCCCGCGCCCGTCACCAGGCAACACATGAGCCCTGCACCCGTCACCAGGCAACACATGAGCCGCTCGCGTCACCAGGCAAGACATTTGCCCAGGGCCAGTCACCAGGCAACACATGAGCCCCGCACGTGTCACCAGGCAACAAATGAGCCCCGCGCACATCACCAGGCAACACATGAGCCCCGCAAAAATCACCAGGCAACACATGAGCCCAGAGCGCGTCACCATGAGCCTGGCACGCGTCACCAGGCAAAACATGAGCGGCGCACGTCACCAGGCAACAAATGAGCCTCGCGTGCGACACTAGGCAACACATGAGCCCCTCGCGTCACCAGGCAAAACATGAGCCGCGCGCGTCACCAGGCAATAAATGAGCCTCGCGCGCATCACCAAACAACACATGAGCCCCGTGAGTGACACCACGCAACACATGAGCCCAGTGCACGTCACCAGGAAACACATGAGCCCCTCGCGCATCATCAGGCGACACATGAGCCCCGCGCGTCACCAGGCAACACATGAGCCCAGCGCGCATCACAATGCGACATGAGCCCCGCGCGTCACTAGGCAACACATGAGCCCAGCGCGCCTCACCAGGCAACACATGAGCCGCGCGCGTCACCAGGCAACACATTAGCCCAGCAGCCGTCACCAGGCAAAACATGAGACGCACGCGTCACCAGGAAACAAATGAGCCCCGTGCGCATCACCTCGCAACACATGAGCTCTGCGCATCACCAGGCAACACATGAGCCCCACGCACATCACCTGGCAACACATGAGCCCCTCGCGTCACCAGGCAAAACATGAGCCGCGCGCGTCACCAGGCAATAAATGAGCCTCGCGCGCATCACCAAACAACACATGAGCCCCGTGAGTAACACCACGCAACACATGAGCCCAGTGCACGTCACCAGGAAACACATGAGCCCCTCGCGCATCATCAGGCGACACATGAGCCCCGCGCGTCACCAGGCAACACATGAGCCCAGCGCGCATCACAATGCGACATGAGCCCCGCGCGTCACCAGGCAACACATGAGCCGCGCGCATCACCAGGCAACACATTAGCCCAGCAGCCGTCACCATGCAACACATGAGTCCCGCGCCCGTCACCACGCAACACATGAGCCCTGCGCGCGTCACCATACAACACATTAAGCCACGCGCACGTCACCATGCAACACATTAAGCCCCACGCACGTCACCATGCAACAAAAGAGCCCCATGCGCATCACCTCGCAAAACATGAGTCCCGCGCGCATCACCAGGCAACACATTAAGCCCCGCTCGCGTCACCACGCAACACATGAGCCCCGCGCCCGTCACCTCGCAACACATGAGCCCCGCCGTCACCAGGCAACCCATGAACCCCATGCACATCACCAGTCAACACCTGAGCCCCGCGCGCATCACCACTCAGCACATGAGCCCCGCACGCGTCACCAGGCAACAAATGAGCCCCGCGTGCCTCACCAGGCAACACATGAGCCCTGCGCGCGTCACCAGGCAAAACATGAGCCGCGAGCATCACCAGGCAAAACATAAGCCGCTCGCGTCACAAGGCAATAAATGAGCCCCGCCACACGTCACCAGGCACCAGCTCGCGGGGGCTCATTTTTTGCCTTGTGACTCGCGCGGCTTATGTTTTGCCTGGTGACGCTCACGGCTCATGTTTTGCCTGGTGACGCGCGAGGGGCTCATGTTTTGCCTGATGACGCGCGCGGGGCTCATTTTTTGCCTGATGATGCGCGTGGGCCTCATTTTTTGCCTGGTGATGCGTGCAGGCCTCATGTGTGGCCTGGTGACGCGCGCTGGGCTCATGAGTTGTCTAGTGACGGGCACAGGGCTCATGCGTTGCCTGGTGTCGCCCACGGGGCTCATGCGTTGCCTGGTGTCGCCCACGGGGCTCATGCGTTGCCTGGTGTCGCGCGCAGGGCTCATGTGTTAATGTGCCAAACGCAGGCAGTCTGGTTACATATTATGCATTTAAACATTTGTTGACATTTTTTGCACAGTAGAAAAAAATCCAAAGATATTTGATACTGAATGTGGAATGGTGGCAGTTAATGCTGTCTTATATAAGGGAAAATGCTTAATGCAATGTATGGTGTCTTTTCTTTGTTTCAAATTGACTGCCTGGAGCTTCATTTCCATGGTGTGTGTCAGTGATAACACTCTCTTTTCACTTCTCATATTCAACACATTTTTCTCTTTAACATGACGTCACACGAATCATAAAGAAAGGGAATCGGATACAAAGTTCTACCAGCATGGAGTGCAAACAGGCTCTTAGAGTGTGATGTCACTAATATGATGACTGTTTAATGGATATTTTTGGTGGACTTCTGAAGCCATAAGATGTTGCCCGTTGTGTGATGTGTGTGGTGGCCTTTGTACATTACTGCTTACACCTGACTACATTTAAAATGTTTCAATCAGTATCAGAAAAGATGGTAGAGTAGTCACTATTAAATTCTTTTTGTAGTTGTTGTAAATCTGTGTTTATTGAATTTTTGCATTTGTGATAAAACGAAATCAAAGGTACGCTGGCCGCAATGTAGACATATGTTTCCATTAAATATACAGTTATCCATGGTATACATATACAATCACTCTGTCAGCCATTTAACAGTAGCCAGTTTGTGGTTCAGAACCTCTATGTGATATTCATTAGTATGGTAGCATGATCCGTAGATCACACCCCAGTATATTGAAATCTGCACATAAGACGTCAAGTTAAAGAGAAATATTAAAGTTAAAGAGAAGCTCCGGAGCAGGGAATGAAGCTCCGGAGCAGATTTATGCTGTTATTCTGTGACTGCTATGCTTGCTTTCAGGAGAGGCGAGGTTTAGGGGAAGTCCCTGCCAGCTTCAACTCTCACACTAGACTGAAAGCTCAGACATTAAACATTCACCAGCAGAGACGTGAGAGAGAACACAGTGAACACAAATTGTGACCAGGGGAAGATCCAATGTAAAGGACACCAGGAAAAGACTACAAACAGGACATTTTTATCATATGATGGGGCTCTGAGCACAGCTTTTAGTGGGTTTCCTATTATACAGCCCTGGCTAAGTGCGAGGATTGTTAAACAGCCATGGATGAGTGAAGCTGTAGTTACAGAGCTGCTGTGCAGATCGTCTCTGAATGTTCTCGACAGTGAGACAGTGCTGTACAGTCCTCATTGCTGCCCGATAGCTGGAGACATTGACCACACAGGAGCCGCTGCTTATAATGAACTGCAGGGCGAGTTGGAACCCACTTCCAAAAGTTTTCAGCTGATGGTTGTTTCAAGGGAGATGCAGCGATCACTGTGTTAATGTGCAGTCTTGTTACATTTTATATATGATTATGTTACATATTATGCAAGAAACACAACTCTAAATTCAAGTTATATTTTAATGAGGTGAAACTGAAGATCCATCTAGATTGTTCGTTCCCATAGAAATAGGATCCTCAACTCCTCTTATATTTGTTTGTCAAATTTTATTTTGTCTGTTAGATGTATTGTACCTTTGTCTTTTTACTTGTACCAATTGTAACCATGAGCAGCACGGCAGAATGTGTTGGTGCATTACAATAAAAGTATGATAATAGCTCATCTTGGACAAAAGTAATGTCTGAAGCTAAATCTTTCTGGAACGTTTGCCTTTGGACTCAGACTGTGAGTGTGTCTCTCCCAGGGAATTATGTGTCTGTCGGCTAGAGCTATGTGTGATCATGAAGCTGCTGAGTGTAGACTAACATTGCTCTGAGTCTGTATCTGTCTGTCAGTGTGAGTTGTGTTTTACAGCCCTGGATAAATGAAGCTGCCATTCACCTTGTCTATTTGGCACTCAGCCTCCGTCCAGCAGCCCTTTCCCAACAGTCAATTTGAAGCAGAGACAAAGAAAAGGGAAAACTCATTACAGAACATTACAGGACTTTTAGGACTCAACCTCTCAGTTTAAGCTTCTCAACTTGGGTTTTAATAACCAGCTTCTTTGTTAGAGTCCACCATGTTTTAGTAATTAATCTCTATATCATTCTGTGGATTATCTTCAGGCCTGTTCTACATACTAATATTATGTGCGGAATATAATTCAGATTGCCTTCCTTCTCTACAGGATATATTGAGGTTTACATTTCCTGAATGACTCATCGAGAGCGTTTGTTTTTTGTTGCAAAAAGCTTCCTGCTTTTGTTGCCAGTGAAGGCAGCTCCACAGGACTACATGCTGCGCCTCCGTTCCACGCACAATTTTTGTAGAATCTTTTTATGCAAAGACATATTTCTCTAATGTGTATATCTCAATGTAAATCTCCCTCTTTCTTGGTGACTAGCGATGCTGCTGAAAGTCTTAAACAACACATGACTTTGTATTAAAAATACATGTATGTACGTAGCGGGGAATGTGGTGCGACTAAAAGAAAGACTACCCACTTATCCCCCCAATAATGACAGACAATGCATATTGGATGAAACAGGTCACAGCATTTATTAAAACTTACAACTGTAGGACACATCCGAACTTCATTCTTTTCCTCTAATTCCAATATAGATAAACACATAAATATATATACATACCATAATTAACAATAAATTAACACTTATAGCCCTACAGCCTTCAACTTAAATAACCGTCCTTGCCAACGAACTTAACTAGGTGCCTATGCACCAAAAACTTTACCCACTGGTGTCTCGCCTCCCCCCTCGTCCAAACCAAATTCCCATCATCTTAAATGCTCTAACCACCAGCCGGCTCTTAGCTCGGTGGGCACTTCCAATTCGGTAACTTGAAAGTTTACCTTACAGAGCAGGGGAGGTTGAGACCCACCTTGTCCATCTCCTGACATTCCATCTGCTCCCCAACCCTGTTGGCAAGGACATGCTCCCCGCTAGCTGTGACAAAACAAAACAAAAAACAAAACAAAAACAAAACATAAATTAGGGTGGGTGGGAGGGAAGTTGTTTGCTGGCCAGAATCCCAAAAGGCACTGAGGTAAGATGATCCCTGCCCCACTACAAACCCATAACCACTCCCCTAAACACATACAGCCAATCACTAGCACCGTCCCCACACTCATACATGTGCCCTTGTACGTTTAGCTGTGCTGACTCCCCAGGGCCTCAATTACTTGGATTTTTGATGTCAGTTATTGACTTTGTAAGTGGTGTCATATTCTGGATAAAAGATAGTCAAAGAGCAGAACTGTCTCCTTTCTTAGCTCTGCCACCACTTAGGGCACCCCTTCTTGTTTAGAGCAGGAATGGCCATGACTCCAGGGGCCCTGTGAGGGGTCGACGTTGAGACTCGTATTACCACCCAAACTGCGCATTACTTTTTAGGAACTGTTCCAGTTCTCATCTTTGAGTGCTGACCGAGGTACAACACATTTCTAGAGACCACCAATATTATATTACAAACTTTCCCCCTCTAAACTAAGACAGTTTGAAATCCAACCTTGAAATTTGGAGCGTCAAATATCATAGTTTTTTCCAGTGTATTTATATTGCACAAAAAACAACTTCACAAATTATCAGCTTATACAAAGTTTATTTTCTCAAAGTAGCATTCTCAGAGTAAGAAATATTGCGAGATAATTCTCGGTTGTACGTGTTATATTCATATTTCTTGTCCACTGTTCAGTTCATAGTCTTTGGTTCATGGTCCCTTAATGACTATGTGATTTTGATTGTGAGATCCTTTTGGAATCCCGTGTAAGAATGCCACGAACATCTCTGTATCTAAGAGTTAGAAGTTAGACGCGATGTTGCTTTCTCAGATTCCATCTTCTCATTAAAGAGTAAAGTAGATCAACCCGTAGTAAAATCTCCTGAATTTTAGCTGTAGCGATAGCACGAGCACACGCTGTATCACCCTGCAGAGAAGAATAGAGAAATTATTATACAAATGGTAAAAGTAGAGAAGGTAGAATTTGGGGAAGGCAAATGGGGAGACAATGCTATGTCTGACACTATCCTCAGCTGTAGGATTGTTTTGACTCGTTATGTCACTTGCTGAGAATAAATGCGCGTGGGAAACTTATCCTGAACTAGAAGATGCTGGAATTAGGGGTGGAGACGGGGTTGGCCAGAAAGTATTTGCAAACATTATTAATACCTGCTTTTGGACAATCTCATTGAGGTTACTGAAATATCTTGTTATTTCTTCGAGGATAGGAGGATTTTCATCAGTCTTTGTAAACTGAAAACATGAAAGAATTTGTTATTGATACCTTCATTATCAAGCAAAGACAGATTCTGTTACTTAATAAATGACTTAATAGCATAGTTTATAAAATACCAGCATATTCGGCAGTGCTGTTCAACTTACACACATGGCCAATGCATTTATATGGTAACAAAGAATTTGTTGGAACTCATCCCAGGCTGCAAGCTTATAACCGATTGTCTTCTGTTGTAACCACGGGGAGTTTCTTATTTCAATCAGAACCTTTCTCACAATGGCTGCAGCTAACCCCTGGAATAACAAAGACAGACTTTAACAAGTGCATTAAGGTGAATACATTCAGTATTAATCAAATTAAAGCATTCATTGTCTTCTTTCAATGGTTGTGTAGAGACAGGTCAATACAGCAGGGTCACAATATGGTTCTTCATGATTAATAATGGACTACCTGAGATTCCTTAGATGTTACTAAGATGTTGAAGATATTGGGAAGGTTTGGTAGCTCGAGGTCAAATGGACAAACTTCAAAAACATCTTCATCAGATCTCTAGAAATAAAAACAGATTAGTTAGTGAACGTGAAAAAAATAAATCAAAATTTCTAAATTCAAGAAGTGAAAAGAGAGTGTTATCCCGAACACACACCATGGGAATGAAGCTCTGGAGCAGATTTCCTATCTTAGTCTCCTGTGTCGGACTGAGCTGTTTGCAGTTTGGCAAAAATATACCCGAAGAAAAGTTCAGCAAAATTAGAAACAAAAATTTCATTTTTAGACACATTTTCGAAGGATCTTATTATTCGGCAGGAGGTCTGTTCTAAGTTGGGGTCCATCGTCGCAAGTATTTATAACCAGGGTTTAACTTTGGATTTGTTCTGTGTGGAATATCTACACAATTACTTTATATACTTTTATTCTGTGAAGAGTATATTCAACTTTGTTCAAGATATTGTTTTTGCTCGCAGAATATATTGTTGTTTGTACTGTTATTATGTGACTGCTATGCTTGCTTGCTTTCAGGTAGTACGAGGCGAGGCTTAGTGGGAAGTCCCTGCCAGTATCAATTCTCACACTAGACTGAAAGCTCAGACATTAAACATTCACCAGCAGAGACGTGAGAGAGAACACAGTGAACACAGATTGTGACCAGGGGAAGATCCAATGTAAAGGACACCAGGAAAAAATTACAAACAGGACATTTTTATCATATGATGGGGCTGTGAGCACAGCTCTTAGTGGGTATCCTATTATACAGCCCTGGCTAAGTGCGAGGATTATTATACAGCCATGGATGAGTGAAGCTGTAGTTACAGAGCTGCTGTGCAGATCGTCTCTGAATGTTTTCGACAGTGAGACAGTGCTGTACAGTCCTCATTGCTGGAGACATTGACCACACAGGAGCCGTTGCTTATAATGAACTGCAGGGCGAGTTGGAACCCACTTCCAAAAGTTTTCAGCTGATGGTTGTTTCGAGGGAGATGCAGCGATCACTGTCTTAATGTGCCAAACGCAGGCAGTCTGGTTACATATTATGCAAGAAACACAACTCTAAATTCAAGTTATATTTTAATGTGGTGAAACTGAAGATCCATCTAGATTGTTCGTTCCCATAGAAATAGGATCCTCAACTCCTCTTATTTGTTTGTCAAATTTTATTTTGTCTGTTAGATGTATTGTACCTTTGTCTTTTTACTTGTACCAATTGTAACCATGAGCAGCATGGCAGAATGTGTTGGTGCATTACAATAAAAGTATGATAATAGCTCATCTTGGACAAAAGTAATGTCAACACCTGAGCCGCGTGTGTCATCAGGCAACACATTAGCCCAGTGCCCGTCACCAGGCAACACATGAGCCCATGTGGCGCATCACCAGGCAACACATGAGCCCCGCGCGCGTCACCAGGCAACACATTAAGCCCCGCGCACGTCACCATGCAACAAATGAGCCCCGTGCGCATCACCTCGCAACACATGAGCCCCGTGCACATCACCTCGCAACACATGAGCCCCGTGCGCGTCACCAGACAACACATTAAGCCCTGCGCGCGTCACCACGCAACACATGAGCCCCGCTCACGTCACCTGGCAACACTTGAGCCGCGCGCGTCACCAGGCAAGACATTAGCCCAGTGCCCATCACCAGGCAACACATGAGCCCATGGGGCGCGTCACCAGGCAGGACATGAGCCGCGCGCGTCACCAGGCAACACATCAGCCCCGCGCGCGACACCAGGCAACACATGAGCCAAGCGCGCGTCACCAGGCCCCACATGAGGCCTGCGCGCATCACCAGGCAAGACATTAGCCCAGGGCCCGTCACCATGCAACACATGAGCCCCACGCGCGTCACCAGGCAACAAATGAGCCCCACGTGCGTCACCTCGCAACACATGAGCCCCGCGCCCTTCACAAGGCAACACATTTTTGCCTGGTGATGCACGCAGGCCTCATGTGTGGCCTGGTGACCCGCGCTGGGCAGGCAACAAATGAGCCCCGTGCGCGTCTTTTTGCAACACATGAGCCCCGCGCGTCACCAGGCAACACTTGAGCCCCGTGTGTGTCACCACGAATGAGCCCTGCGCGTGTCACCTTGCAACACATGAGCGCAACGCCCATCACAAGGCAACACATGAGCCGCGTGTGTCATCAGGCAACACATTAGCCCAGTGCCCGTCACCAGGCAACACATGAGCCCATGGGGCGCATCACCAGGCAACACATGAGCCCCTCGCGTGACACCAGGCAACACATTAGCCCAGCGCCCGTCACCAGGCAAAATATGAGCCGTGTACGTCACCAGGCAACAAATGAGCCCCGCGCGCGTCACCTCGCAACACATGAGCCCCACGCGTCACCAGGCAACACATGAGCCCCACGCGTCACCAGGCAACACATGAGCCCCGCGCGTGTCACCACACAGCACATGAGCCCCGTGCCCGTCACTAGGCAACTCATGAGCCCAGCGCGTGTCACAAGGCCACACATGAGGCCTGCGCGCATCACCAGGCAAAAAATGAGGCCCGCGCGCATCATCAGGCAAAAAATGAGCCCCGCGCGCGTCATCAGGCAAAACATTAGCCCCGCGAGCATCACCAGGCAAAACATGGGCCGCGAGCGTCACCAAGCAAAACATAAGCCGCGCGCGTCACAAGGCAACAAATGAGCCCCGCCACACGTCACCAGGCACCAGCTCGCGGGGGCTCATTTGTTGCCTGGTGAAGCGCGCGGGGCTCATATGTCATCTGGTAATGCGCGAGGGGCTCATGTGTTGCCTGGTGACGTGCGCGGGGCTCATGTGTTGCCTGGTGACGTGCGCGGGGCTCATGTGTTGCCTGGTGACAGGCGCAGGGCTCATTTGTTGCCTTGTGACGCGCGCGGGGCTTATTTTTTGCCTGGTGATGCACGCAGGCCTCATGTGTGGCCTGGTGACGCGCGCTGGGCAGGCAACAAATGATCCCCGTGCGCGTCACTTTGCAACACATGAGCTCCGCGCGTCACCAGGCAACACTTGAGCCCCGTGCGTGTCACCACGCAGCACCTGAGCCCCGCGCGTGACACCAGGCAACGCATGAGCACCGCGTGCGACACCAGGCAACGCATGAGCCCCGCGCGCATCACCTCGCAACACATGAGCCCCGCACGTCACCAGTCATCTCAAAAGCCCCGTGCGCGTCACCAGTCAACACCTGAGCCCCACGTGCGTCACCACGCAGCACATGAGCCCCGCACGCGTCACCAGGCAACAAATGAGCCCCGCGTGCGTCACCAGGCAAGGCATGAGCCCCGCGCGCGACACCAGGCAACGCATGAGCCCCGCGCCTGTCACCAGGCCACACAAGGCCCCCGCGCATCATTAGGCAAAAAATGAGCCCCGCGCACGTCACCAGGCAAAACATGCGCCGCGCTCGTCACAAGGTAACAAATGAGCCCCGCCGCACATCACCAGGCACCAGCACGCAGTGGCTCATGTGTTGCCTGGTGACGTGCGCGGTTCTCATATGTTGCCTGGTGACTGAACCTCTATGTGATATTCATTAGTATGGTAGCATGATCCATAGATCACACCCCAGTATATTGAAATCTGCACATAAGACGTCAAGTTAAAGAGAAATATTAAAGTTAAAGAGAAGTGAAAAGAAAGTGTTATCACTAACACACATCATGGGAATGAAGCTCCGGAGCAGATTTATACTGTTATTATGTGACTGCTATGCTTGCTTGCTTTCAGGAGAGGCGAGGTTTAGGGGAAGTCCCTGCCAGCATCAACTCTCACACTAGACTGAAAGCTCAGACATTAAACATTCACCAGCAGAGACGTGAGAGAGAACACAGTGAACACAGATTGTGACCAGGGGAAGATCCAATGTAAAGGACACCAGGAAAAGACTACAAACAGGACATTTTTATCATATGATGGGGCTGTGAGCACAGCTCTTAGTGGGTATCCTGTTATACAGCCCTGGCTAAGTGCGAGGATTATTATACAGCCATGGATGAGTGAAGCTGTAGTTACAGAGCTGCTGTGCAGATCGTCTCTGAATGTTTTCGACAGTGAGAGAGTGCTGTACAGTCCTCATTGCTGGAGACATTGACCACACAGGAGCCGTTGCTTATAATGAACTGCAGGGCGAGTTGGAACCCACTTCCAAAAGTTTTCAGCTGATGGTTGTTTCAAGGGAGATGCAGCGATCACTGTGTTAATGTGCCAAACACAGGCAGTCTGGTTACATATTATGCAAGAAACACAACTCTAAATTCAAGTTATATTTTAATGTGGTGAAACTGAAGATCGATCTAGATTGCTCATTCCCATAGAAATAGGATCCTCAACTCCTCTTACATTTGTTTGTCAAATTTTATTTTGTCTGTTAGATGTATTGTACCTTTGTCTTTTTACTTGTACCAATTGTAACCATGAGCAGCATGGCAGAATGTGTTGGTGCATTACAATAAAAGTATGATAATAGCTCATTTTGGACAAAAGTAATGTCTGAAGCTAAATCTTTCTGGAACTTTTGCCTTTGGACTCAGACTGTGAGTGTGTCTCTCCCAGGGAACACATGAGCCAGGCAACGCATGAGCCCCATAGGCGTCGCCGGGCAACACATGAGCCCTGCCCGCGTCACCAGGCAACAAATGAGCCCTGTACGTGTCACCTTGCAAAACATGAGCCCCGCGCCCGTCACCACACAACACATGAGTCCCGCGCACGTCACCTGGCAACAAATGAGCCCTGCGCGCGTCATCTCGCAACACATGAGCCCCCTGCGTCACCAGGAAATACATGAGTCCCGTGAATGTCAGCAGGCAACACATGAGCCCCGCGCGCGTCACCAGGCAACACATGAGCAACACATGAGCAACACATGAGCCAACAGATGAGCCGCGCGCGTCACCAGGCAAGACATTAGCCCAGGGCCTGTCACCAGGCAACACATGAGCCCTGCGCGTGTCACCAGGCAACAAATGAGCCCCGCACGTGACACCAGGCAACATATGAGCCCAGTGCGCGTCATCAGGAGACACATGAGCCCCGCACGCGTCGCTGGGCAACACATGAGCCGCGCGCGTCACCAGGCAGAACATTAGCCCAGGGCCCGTCACCAGGCAACAAATGAGCCCCGCGCCCATCACAAGGCAACACATGAGCCCCGCGCCCATCACAAGGCAACACATGAGCCGCGCGCGTCACCAGGCAACCCATTAGCCCAGCGCCCGTCACCAGGCAAAATATGAGCCGCACGCATCACCAGGCAACAAATGAGCCCCGCGTGCGTCATCTCACAACACATGAGCCCCATAGGCATCTCCGGGCAACACATGAGCCGTGCGCGTCACCAGGCAAGACATTAGCCCAGGGCCTGTCACCAGGCAACACATGAGCCCCGCACGCATCACCAGGCAACAAATGAGCCTCGTACGTGTCATCTCGCAACACATGAGCCCCGCGCCCGTCACCACAGAACACATGAGTCCCGCGCACGTCACCTGGCAACATATGAGCTCTGCTCGCGTCACCATGCAAAACATGAGCCGCGCGCGTCACCAGGCAACAAATGAGCCTCGCACGCGTCACCAGGCAACACATGAGCCCCGCGCGTGACACCAGGCAACACATGAGCTCAGTGCACTCACCAGGAAACACATGAGCCCCGCGCGCGTCACCAGGCAACACATGAGCAACACATAAGCCAACAGATGAGCTGCGCGCGTCACCAGGCAAGACATTAGCCCAGGGCCTGTCACCAGGAAACACATGAGCCCCGCACGCGTCGCCGGGCAACACATGAGCCGCGCTTCACCAGGCAGAACATTAGCCCAGGGCCCGTCACCAGGCAACAAATGAGCCCCGCGCCCATCACAAGGCAACACATGAGCCCTGCGCCCATTACAAGGCAACAAATGAGCCGCGCACATCACCAGGCAACACATTAGCCCAGCGCGGGTCACAAGGCAACATATGAGCCCCGCGTGCATCACCAGGACACACAAGAGCCCCGCGCCCATCACCAGGCAACACCTGAGCTCCATCCGTGTCACCAGACAAAATATGAGCCGCACGCATCACCAGGCAACAAATGAGCCCCACGTGTGACACCTCGCAACACATGAACCCCGCACCCGTCACCAGGCAACACATTAGCCCAGCGCCCGTCACCAGGCAACACATGAGCCGCGCGCGTCATCAGGCAAGACATGAGCAACACATGAGCCAACAGATGAGCCGCGCGTCATCAGGCAAGACATGAGCAACACATGAGCCAACAGATGAGCCGCGCGCGTCACCAGGCAAGACATTAGCCCATGGCCTGTCACCAGGAAACACATGAGCCCCGCACGCGTCGCCGGGCAACACATGAGCCGCGCGTCACCAGGCAGAACATTAGCCCAGGGCCCGTCACCAGGCAACAAATGAGCACCGCGCCCATCACAAGGCAACACATGAGCCCCGCGCCCATCACAAGGCAACACATGAGCCGCGCACATCACCAGGCAACACATTAGCCCAGTGCGCATCACAAGGCAACATATGAGCCCCGCGTGCATCACCAGGACACACAAGAGCCCCGCGCCCATCACCAGGCAACACCGGAGCTCCATCCGTGTCACCAGACAAAATATGAGCCGCACGCGTCACCAGGCAACAAATGAGCCCCACGTGTGACACCTCGCAAAACATGAACCCCGCACGCGTCACCAGGCAACACATTAGCCCAGCGCCCGTCACCAGGCAAAATATGAGCCGCGCGCGTCACCAGGCAACACATGAGCCGCGCGCGTCACCAGGCAAGACATTAGCCCAGGGCCCGTCACCAGGCAACACATGAGCCCCGCGCACGTCACCAGGCAACACATGAACCCAGTGCGTGTCACCAGGAAACACATGAGTCCCGTGCCCGTCACCAGGCAACACATGAGCCCTGCGTCCGTCACCAGGCAACATATAAGCCGCGCGCATCACCAGGCAAGACATTAGCCCAGGGCCTGTCACTTCGCAACACATTAGCCCAGCTCCCGTCACCAGGCAAAATATGAGCCGCGCGCGTCACCAGGCAACACATGAGCCGCGCGCATCACCAGGCAAGACATTAGCCCAGGGCCCGTCACCAGGCAACACATGAGCCCCGCGCACGTCACCAGGCAACACATGAACCCAGTGCGTGTCACCAGGAAACACATGAGTCCCGTGCCCGTCACCAGGCAACACATGAGCCCTGCGTCCGTCACCAGGCAACATATAAGCCGCGCGCATCACCAGGCAAGACATTAGCCCAGGGCCTGTCACTTCGCAACACATTAGCCCAGCTCCCGTCACCAGGCAAAATATGAGCCGCGCGCGTCACCAGGCAACACATGAGCCGCGCGCATCACCAGGCAAGACATTAGCCCAGGGCCCGTCACCAGGCAACACATGAGCCCCGCGCACGTCACCAGGCAACACATGA